CATCTAGCAACTTTCACAGTTGTTGATGTCAGAGTGACAGGCAGTTACTTATGGGGGTCATATTTTGTTTAGACTTTTTGGTGGATGGGTTTAAATAGGTGTTAGCAATTTTTGTATTCAAAGACAATGCATGCAGCATCACCTTGCTTGGCTAGTGTCTCTAAAACTTTGAAACTAGAAAGGTACTTTTCCACTTCATAAAATCCCATTTTGGAATAAAATTTTTCCTTTTAGAAAGCAGTAGGTAATTTTTAATAGTTCACTGGTTCGAATAAACTGTAAGTGTATTTTACATAATATACTCTCTAGGAAGCAAAAACTGTGTCTTGGGCTTCTTTCTTACCATAAGGGAAGGCAAAATACTGTGATTTTACTGCCAATAGAAAAAGGCTCCCTAATCAAAATAAAACAGAAATAATTTAATGTATTTCACTCATTTAGCAGTTACATTTGTTATGTTCTAACAAACTCAGTGGCAAGGGTTAGACACTTCTTTTCAGTATAGATTAGATAGTATTTGGTTTTAGCTAGACTATAGGTCTTGACTCTTTCAAACTGCCTTCTTTTTAAAATAAAACAATTTTAGACTCTTCTAAAGAATAAGCCTTAGAATACTTATATAGAACAAAGTACTTACATTCTTCTTAAAAATTCAGCCTTTTCCACTGACAACACAGTGGACAGTAACAGGGATGACAGTGTATATGGGCTCCAGTCGGGGGTGGGAGGGGGAGAGGCTATGGGAGGGTGCCATTTGGGATGCCGGTATAAAGATGAATAAGATTGTTTGGGGTGTTCTGTATGAAATACACACACACAAAAATAAATAAATAAATAAACAAACAAACAAGTTATATTTGAGGAAGAAGCATAAAAATTTGCTTCATGTTAATTAGTAGATACAAAAAAAAACATTACCATTGAAATCTTCCTGGTGAATTTATATCCATGCTCAGGTGCCAAGAATCTCAGAAAGTAACTGATTGTGACTAATAATAATCAGAGATATAGAAATTAGGGACACATGTGCAAACATCTAAGTGTTAGTTGCATTAAAAATAAGTTTTTCTGTATGAAACAGTATATTTCAAAATGAAATGGAGATCTTTAAAGGTTAAAACCTCATTCAATTTTATGTCTTATAGGGTTTATGCTGAATAAACATTATATATAACTGTATTAATTCAACTCTGTGAACCTAAAAATTACAGCCAATTTTGAAAGAGATGCATCTTTGCTATGGAAACTGTTATTGACGACGTCAATGCTGTTGTAATGAAATGCTTCTTCTAATTATGTGGTTATTAAATAAATTTTTAAAAAGTTCAGCCTTTTCACAGTTAAGGAATGATTATGATGCCAGATGTGGTGGTGTATGCTTTCTTAAACCCAGCATTCGTGAGGCAGAGGCAAAAGGATCTCTGTGAGATCAAGGACAGTCTGGTCTATACAGTGAGTTCCAGGTCAGCTGGGCTACAGGGAGACCCTGTCTCAAAAAAAAAATCCCTGAAGAATGATTATAGGTAGTTCAAATCTGTTAAAAGTAGAGGTCAGAATAAAAGCTGGTTAAGTAGTTTGGAGTCTAATGATAAAAAAAAGAATAAAAAGTCAGAAGCCAATTCATACTAGATAAATAAACCATATTTATTCCAGTTTTAAAAACACAACGAATTAAAATAGATGTAATTTGCATTATTGATAATTAAATCTGTGTTATTATACAAAGCATTAGGGATTCATTTATATTGGTGGATTTCTTTTTAAAATTTAAAATGCAATATTTATGATTAATACTCTAACAAATAACGCTGTCCCTCCTCCCTTCCCCTCCCTTCCTCTTTCCTCACTTTTCCTTTCCTCCTCCCCTTCCTCTCCTCTTCCCTTTCCTTCTTTCTTCCAACAATAAGACAATGTATCCTCATTAAAGCAACAGTACAAAGACAAGAACTATTAACTCTACCAAATTATGTGGTTTTCTAGCCTCTCCCCGACTCCTCTCTTTCCTTACAGGACTATGCCCAACCTCCAAACATTCCTCCCTGAGTGCCTGCAGTTGGTTAAAACCCTCAGATCTCTTGAGCTGTGACAGAATGAGTTCACCAGGCTATAGATGCTCCTGCTCATTTCTAGGAACACTACAACTAGGTTCAGTATTAATGAGCGGTGCAAAAGCGCAAATCACAATTAATTCCCAGAAAGCTGGAGAAATTGCTCCAGTTGTCGATTAGCAGTGATCAGACAGAAATTTGGGAGCAGTACTCATTCAAAGTCTTCCAGCACAAAAATGCTAGTTAATCTTCTCTTGCCTATTTTTTAACATAACAACTTCGCTGCCTTATATAATTTATGTGGTGAGCAGAAAGCTGACAAGCCATCCGAACAAAACAACCCTCCTAATAAAAGACAAACAAATGAGAACTTTTGCACAGATATCGTTTCATATGCATACACACACACACACACACACACACACATACATATTTCGCTTCAATCAGTTAGAAGAGTATAATCCAAGGATTTACTCCATTGGTTAAACCTGCATTCCAGGCACACTTCCTAACAGACTCATATCTGTACCTAGAGCAGGACATCTATCAATAACTTCTAGAGGGGAAAAAAAAGATATTTTGAGCACATTCCCCACATTCCTTATGGCAGTAGAGGTATGGCTTCTTAGTAGGACAAGCAGTTGAGGCCCTGGGTTCCATTCCCAGCACCAGAAACAGCAATTAATCCACATGGCAGCTCAGAAAGAATTATTTTAGCTTATTGTTTTAAAATGCCAACTACTTTTCTTTCTTTTCCCAAGCTCAAACTAATTGAAGGTTATGAAGTAACCACTTCCCCTCAGAAGCCAGAACTTTCACCTCTTCTGGGCAGGTGACTATCTCTCATAAATTAGGTAAAAATAAGGACTCGCTGATTGAATGATAATCCAGGACCTTGTAGCTGCCAATTCCTTATCTAGATCTACCACAGTGAGCAATCCCTGAAAGTAAAGTAGTGGTTTACTTCATCGGTTCTCTGGAAGTTTGAAAGCAGTAATAACAACAGCCTGTAGAAACACCAGCTTCTCCAACCAGCTTCAGTTTGTTTGAACGAACAATGACAAGGCGCACGATCTCTAAATCTAAAATTCTGCCTATTTCAAAACAATAGGGCTTTAACCCACTGCAACTCATTCAGCATGGGTGATCTAGTTTAAGAGGTAGAAGTAAAAAAGGAAGTGGCAAGATCAAAGTGGTGCTTACCAAAGGGAAGGGATATTTTTGTATGCATACTCCAGAATTTACTAACTGGCTTTAAAAAACAGGGACATTCTCTGTTTACTCAGCTCAAGTAAACTGCCATGTGCACAACACAACACAACTGATATTTCAAAAGGAAGATAACAGATTGCTAAATCGCCACCAACCTTTAATAGGATTGGACTACTTTCTTTAAAAAGTCTTCCAGTTTTGAAGTGGTTTACTTGTCATAGCTAGTGTAGTATTTTAGTTCTAGTATTAAGTCTACATAGGAGCCACCTTTTGTATTGAAGTTTGTTCAGTAGGTTGAACTAAGAAGGTCTTTTATCTAAACAAGCAGGGGGAGGGTATTTAAGACTTTCAGATACGTAGATATAGATGAATACTTGCACATTTCATGTTTCCACCATTATATATGTTCTTTCATAGTGATTCAATTAGATGAGAGTATTAAATGTTATAGGAGGCAAATCTTTTTTCATTGCCAGTCTCTCAAGCTCATATGCTAAGAAAAGGTACTTTGCTGTCAATTATCTACATCAGTCTTAGTGTATCAAATAGTAAAAGGATTTATCTCTTGAAAGCACAGTATTAAAATCAGGGAAAATGTACAGCTCAGTTAAGGGCTTTACTCTAATCAAGTTTCCCTTCTTAAGGTAGAATGCATTTTAAACCTCTCCAGAATACTCAGTTGAGGAATTCCACTAGAAAACTAATTACTGCAGAGCCCATGAAGCTGCATTATTCACCAGTGATCATCAGTTTGTACAAGAGTATTTAATGTCGTGGTTTATCAAATATTTAAACCACAACCAATGCTCAGTTATGAGCCCTACAACAGACAATTTTAATCAAATATGGTTATTTCATAAGCTGCGATGCTAAGCTCTACTCTTAAAAAGTCCATAAAAATATCTTAAACTTAGATGATGAATTCCTTTACCATTAGTCCCATTTAAGTTTCAGAGCAGAACGGTAAATCGGAAGCAACATCTCCGTTGGTGTCTCTTTCAGAAGATAGTAGTAAGGATAGGCTTTGTTCATATCATTATTTTTGCTTTAGAGGTCATAAACGGTGCCATTATCCTAGAGTTTGATGTAATTAAGTGTCTAAAAGGTGCCATTGGTAGGTGATTTCTTTCTCAAACGCTAGGCCTAGAGTGTCAGCATTAGGTTCTTTGGGCGGGGGGACCAATATTCAAGTCTTGTCACAGATGAATGGGTTATGTCGTGCGGGGGGGTGTCTTTCAGAAAGGGGTAAGAGGCTCTCCTATTCAGTTCTGGGGAGCTGGAAGGGCTTTCCCAGCCTGGAGGACTGACAGGAACTTCTGCTTTCATTTCGTGGACCGCCCTTAAGTGAAATCTGGCTCTGCACTGCACCAACCACCTTCCCATTTCTCCTCCGAGCCGGCGGACCCCGAGCCCGGCCGCCACCTCCCAACTAGGCTCGGGTGGGGATTTTTACAAAGTTTGCAGAGTTCCCCTCCAGCTCCCATTCCCGCCCGCGGAGACGCGCACCGCAACGCCGGCGGCGGAGGCCTCGGCCCAAGGGCCGCCCGGCCGCTGCCAAGTCCGGATGCGCCTTGTTCCCCTGGTCGCCGGCCGCGCGCCCCTCCATGCTGTCCACTCCCGTACGGTCCGGCCCAGCGGCGAGCAGCGGCCGGGGAGCCGGGGAGCCGGGGCGGCGGGCGGAGCGGAGGGGAGGTGACGGCGCTCGGGCCACAGGTCCCGGCGGCCGGGCAGTGTGCTTACCGTGCTGCGCGGCGCTCGGCCTCGCTCGCCTGCGGGCTCCCGCTGCGGGGCGTCGCGGCCGGCGGGTCGCGGGTCTCGGGACTCGGGTCTTCGGGTCTCGCGTCTTCGGGCCCGGGTCTTTGGCCGCGGGTCTCGGAGCGCTCAGCGGCGCGCCATGTCCGCAGCGCGGGCGGGAAGCGCGGGCGGC